CAAAGATACCTATCTCCTCCCTCCCCACACTTTCTCTCTCACACACATACACATAAATAAATGAACAAATAAATATAGATATTAGGAAAATATCTGTTTCTGACATTTTCATTTTTAAAAAGATAAGGAAAGAAATAAATATTATCTTAGACATTGTTGAACTTGAAGAGACCTCAGGATCATATATTCCATGCACTTATTTTTCAGGTAAAGAAACTAAAACTGAGAGGTGAAGCAACAAAGCCAAGGTCATAGGACTGGTAAGTGACACAGGGGGAGCCAGAATCTGAGTTCTCCAAGCTCCTTATCCAGGGCCTTCCATGCGGCTAGCTCCTGGACCAACTCAGCATTTGATTCACCTAATTGTAAGTAGGGACACAATTAAATAAACTTCCAAATAGGCATGCTTTTCCTTTATTACATGTTTACAAATAAAGACAATTTCAGTACTAGAAGATGGCATAATGGTTACGTCTTTGGACTCCCACATTGACCACTTGACCATTAGATGAAGTCCTGAACCTGGTGGCTTAAAATTCATGCCAGGTGCATGTGTGTGCATACCCAAAATCCCAAGAGGAGAAAGGAGGAGAAGGGACTGCAGTGTGGCCATATCCATGGGGAGATGATTTCTTACTTTTTGCCTCTCTGTCTCTCCAGCGAGTGCATATACCATATAGCAAAAATCTCTCCAAAAATAAAGACAATTTTCACTTGGAGGGCTATAACCTCAACAATGTAAGCAGGTTTCTTATCTGGGAACTACTGACATATAAAGTCAGATCATTCTTTGCTGGAGTAGAGTTGGGAGAGTTGTCTTCATTCACACATTCTAGGATTTCAGTACCATCCCTGGCCTCTACCCATCAGATGCCAATAGCATCCCCCACACAAGCTGGTATAACTAAAATGTCTGCAGACATTGTCAAATGGCATCTGGGGCCAAAACCACTCTGTTAGCCATACATTGTACGCATCCATCAATCATCAGGAAGCCTTCAATCATTGCTGTAAGTCAGATGCCAGAGGGCTGGGATGAGGAATTGGCAATATATTACACATGGATGGGAGAAGGTGCTTCTCTGATGCCCTTTCAGAAAGACAAAGCAGAGACCCTATCGAGCACAGAAATGATCAGAGAAAGACAGCTCAGAAGAAGGGAGTTGGCTGGCTGAGCCATGGCAGTACAGCAGTGGGACAGTACTGGAAGCTGATGGAAGACTGGGGTTTGGTTTCCAGGTTCGCCTGCACACACCAGTGTGTGCATGTGCCGTGATCTCAGCTGGCTGAAAGGCTGGGTGACGGCAGGTAACGTGAGACCTTGTTGAGGGTGTTTCTCTCTCTCTCTCTCTCTTTCTCTCTCTCTCTCTCTCTCTCTCTTTCTCTCTCTATTTCTTAGGTAAGCACATTGTATCATAAATAAAAATTTAAAAAGAAAAAACAGAAAGGGGGCAAAAAGATAATGGTTAAGTGATATGAAAAATAATAAAGGAGGTGGGAAAGAAACAGTGGCAAAGACAGAGGGAAGGAAAATGAGAAGAAAGAGGTCACCAGCGAGGAAGGATTTAACATTCCAGGATTTGTAGGACAGAGCAACCCATTATGAGATAAAGTGGCATACTTTCATCGGGCATAATTTTTTAAAAAGGCAACTCAGCCTGAGGAAAAAGGTCAAGAACTTTCCACCAAGTCATTGTGAGGCTCTGGGAAAGGACCACTGTCCCTAGATGATGAACCCCTCAGGGGAGTTCGATGTGAAGCTCTTTGTTAAGGTCTCAGTGGCTCAAACTCTCAAGACTCTACAACAGTGTGGCCTGCAGTTTCACCCACGTTAGCATTCCCAGCCAGTGAAGAATCTGATGGGACTTTAGAACAATGTACATGACTCCTCAGGTCCAAAATACAATCAATTTTCTTAACAGCTACTGTCCCAAAACCTATTTAATTGCAAAATACCTCCTGGGAAACAAAACAGCTCTGGCTGTTCCAGACTGTTCCTCTCCTGGAGTATCCAGGTGGCTAATCAAATGGGGAGCTCCAGGCTTGACTCAGTCCCAAACTAGGTGGAAAACAGCCTTATTTCTCATCTAGTCTCGGGTCTAGACTACATTTGACAAGCTGCCATTCAATTCTTACATGCTCCATATACCCATCTGGCTTTTCCAAAAAATCATTTTAGTGAGTTTTCATGAGTAAACACAAATTTATAAAAATGCCTGTACCCTATGATTCTCAAACTCTAAAGTACATAGAAATCACTTGAGGATGCTGGGGCTCAGCAGATGGCATAGTGGTTCCGTTGCTGGACATGACCAACTCTGGTTCAAGTCTCGGAGCCAGTGGCTTGAAAAATCATGCTGGTGTGTGTTCGTGCGTGCCTAAGATCCCAGGAGGAGAATAGAGGAGAAGGGGTTGCAGCGTGGCCGACCCCCTGGAGGGTGGTTTCTCACTTCCCTCTCACTGTCTCTGTCTCTCCAGTGAGCACACATACCCTATGGCAAAACCTCAAATAAACAAAAAAGAAATCACTTAAGGACCTTAGCCAAATGCAGGCTCTAACCATTAGGTCTGGCAGGACCTGAGCTTCCAACAGCCTAGCAAGCTCCCAGGTGATGCTGACGCTATGCTCCATGGCCATCCTTTGGAGGATAAAGCTCTAAATCTAATCTATTCTGGAAAATCACCTTTCTGATTCTACTGTTTCCCTCCTGCAGAAACATTTTATAGCTGGCTGCACACTGCTTACACCAGGGGGGGATTCAAGCTCTCTTGCAACAAAGAGAAGCCCTTAACACCATCACCCAACCAGCTTCAACTTCAGGACTACTCTCCTCCAACATACACACTATGAAGCAACCACACAAACTCCGTAGTGTTCCCCCGAACCTTGTGTATGTTGCAATTACCTGATCTGTTTCCTTCTATCAGAATCTTTGCCATCCTTCAAGGCCTAGTTCAAATGTCATCTCCTCCAAAAGGCCTTCCCCAAACCCTCTAAAAACAAATTTTTCCTCCCACCATACCCTGAATTTGGCATTAAATATCTGCATGGGTGTGTCTTGTTTCCTGGAAAGTGATGACCCATCCAATAAAATCATAGAACTGCATGGAGCCTAACTCAGTTAAAGACACTCAGTTTTCACACTTTCACGTCTATCGCTCCTAATGAAAGTGAATCCTCTGAGGACTTACAAACGTCACAGAATTACCCCCAGACTTTCGGCCCCAAGCCAACATTAAATGTCAGCTGCTTTGAGCACCTGGAACACACCCCATTTTCCCTAGAGCATCACTCCCATAGCAGTCCCTAGCAGGCACTGTGGATGGTTTCGTCAGGGTCTGCTAGATCATTCTCATTGGTCACTCTTGTGAATATGCACTATCCATTAAAAAAAAAAAAAGAAGAAGAAATATATATATATATAAACTGTCCCCAGATCACCCTCCATCCCATTTCTCCGTATGCTTGACAGCAAACTCCCCCTTGAACAAGACTCACTGTCCCCACTTCATCCCCTTCAATCCCTTGACCCACACCTCCACCAGCAAAACTGAGCTTGTCAAGGGTCACCAGACACTCAGTGCACAGAAGAGGTGTCACTTCCCAGGCTCCTCTCACTGGATCTGAGGGCGGCACCAGGCACAGGTGGTCATTCTCTCCCTTAGTCTGTCCTTTGTCCTCTGAACTTCTTCTTTCTTCTCCTCCCCACCATTCCTGCAGCAGTTCTTTTCCAGCCTTCTCTGCCACACCCTCCACTTCCCCAACTGAAAACACTGGAGGAAAGCACAGCCTAGTCCTCCGACCCTCTCTAAAGAAGGATGCCCATGCTTCCACGTCCAGCCCAGGCCCCTCCCTGAAACTGAGGCTCAGCCAACTACTTCAAAACTAGCATGTCTAAGGCTAAATCACTGGGGCCAGCCAGGGGCATAGTGGTTAAAGTGCTGGACTCCCACAGGGCCACGGTTGGAGTCCCAGACCCGGCAGCTTGAAACTCACAGTAAGTGCATGTGTGTGAATACAAAAAATCTTGAGGGGAGAATGGATTGTGGCATCCCCCCCGCCAAACACCGGGGGTTGCTGATTTCTCACTTTCTGTCTCTCTGTCTCTCCAGTAAGTACATGTGCCCTATAGCAAACATATCTCTTAATTGTTGACAGCCGCTCTGCCAACCCCTCTCCCTCCCCCCCTGCCAGTCTTTGCTGTCTTAGAACACCCACGCTCTGTTCTATCAGCACTGGAACACGAGCCATGGAGGCATCCTGGCCTCTTCTTCCTCTGGGACAGCCCATTCTTCCAGCACTCCCTGCCTCACTGCTTGAGCCCACGCTACCGCCAGCCCCAGCCGGGGCCCTCATGAGGGTCCTGGCCAGGCACCCTGCTCCACACAGCCCTCGTCTCCACAGTCTATTTCCACACAGGGCCAGAGTAAGTCTTCCAAATATGCCAGGTCATAGTGCTGCTCTCAACCCTAAGCCCTTCTGACCTCCCTAGGACTCAAATGCACTTTGCTTTCCAGTCCCCCGAGTTCCCACGTGATCTGGGCCCCTCGCTGCCCTCCATACTCCACCTCGCAGCACTTGCTGCTTCACTCCACCTGCTCTGGTCTCCCTCGCTTTCTCGCACACTGCTCCTGCCTCAGGGACTTTTCCACACGCGCTCTCCTGGCCACTCAGCGGCTCGTATCTGCTCCCAGGTCACCAGATCAGAGACCACTGCTGGCATCCAGGTGAATCCAAACCCCCACCTGGGCCTAGTGCCTTCCCTGTTTCTTTCTGCTTCTTCCTGTGTACGTACTTGAGGTATATACACTCTGCAAAGATCAGACTTTCCGAGAGCGGACACTTAATTGTTTTGCTCACTTACCCTGAATCCCTAAGCATGGTGCCTGCATCACATGTCATACGCATCATGGAAAAGATCATGTCAGCATCCCAGAGGAATAAGAAAGTACTAACTACACTCTGAAAAGTTTAGAATGCAGAGGAAAGGCATACTCACTTTCTGATCACCGTCTTGGACTCTGATGAACTTTGACTCCCTTCTTCTTCACAGTTAGGGCTTGTCAGGTTTCCATACCTTTATACACAAAAACAGATGCCAAGCAGAGATGATCAATGGTGTTGGAAAGCAATTCTATTCCATTTCAAACACAAAATAGTAGTTAACACTTTTCAGGAGTAAGTAAAGAAAAAAATGATGAAACAACATCAAAACTGATGTGTACTGGGGCTAGCTCCATGGTGCAATGGTAATACAGAGCTCAGAAACTAGATCCCACACAGCAAGTGCAGTTCAAATCCCCAGCCAGGACAGCCGGACAAACACCAGGCACGTGCATGAGTGCCAAAGAGCTGGTGGGCTGGAGGGCCGGAGGAAGGAGATTGTGGCAGGACCAGACCTTGTGAAGGGTGTTTCTCCCTCTCCCTCTCTCACATGCATGTGCTCTACCATAGATAAATAAATCATTTTAAAAAGATGCAGTATTATCAAGAGTTAGTCAATGACTGGACCAGTGTATTCTAAATAGAAAAATGATTAGGAATCACAGTACTTACAACTTTTCTTTTAACATTTAACATTCCTCTGAATTTCTTAGATTTCATGAGGTTTTCCCTACCAGTAGGAGAATCAGATATTCCATGACACAGCAAGGCAGACCCCTCATGAATCCTGGCACAGCAAGCCCTCCACTGCCGCCTCCTGCTACAGGAGTCAAGGGAGACTGAGTGCTTCTACCCATGGACCACTCAGGCACGCAGAGAGGACTCCCCACTGCATCAGGGAGTCTGGTCTCTTTGAGGGCAAGGCCCACTGAAGAAGTCTGTGGAAATAACTCTGTATGCCTCAAGTAAAGCCTGGACTCGAGACAAGAACAGGGGAACAGAACGGTTGTGCTTTAGGAACTAGAACAGCAGCGAACAGCAGCCTGGGTAGACTGAGGCCAGGAGATCTAGACAGTAACTGGGACAGTGGGGCAGGAATCTGATGTTTCGTAAAGCACTAGGTGCTTAAACTTGACATTTCTCTCATTACAAATGCCAAAGCGACTACATGGTGGATCGGTCCCTAACTGCACTGTACGCTGTTCTTCCACCTCCACAGTGAACAAGCCTGCATCGTGCACATATATCACATGTCACTTGGTTCGGAACATAAGTTTACTAAATTCGATTTATTTATTTATTTATTTTTTGCTATAGGGTGTGTGCACTCACCAGAGACACACAGAGAGATAGAGAGAGGGAAAGTGAGAAATCAACTCTGGGGAACATGGCCATGCTGCAATCCCTTCTCCTTCATTCTTCTCTTGGGATTTGGGATTTGGGGAATGCATGCAACATGCCTGGCATGATTCTCAAGCCACTACGTCTGGGACTTAAACCATGCGGTTGGTCATGTGGGATCCAGGATCCCAGCTTCCATGCCACCTGCTAGCCCTGCTTTAAATTCATAAGGTGTGGTCTTTATATTATAATAGCTAAGCTTTTTTTTTTTTTTTTTTTTTTTTTTGTAGTTTGTCTATCTAGCAAATAAAGAGTTCATAGATCTCTTGGAGTTTCACAACTGGTTGTCTGTCCCAACATTTTGATAAGAGAACTCCTGAAATTGGTGGGTTTACATTTTTATCTTTTTTTTTTTTTTTGGGAGGTTTTTGCTATAGGGTGGGGCCCCTGCCCAAATAACAAAGAGAGGTTTTTGCTATAGGGTGTGTGCACTGCCAGAAAGACAGAGAGAGAGACAGAGAGACAGAAAGTGAGAAATCACCCCCCAGGGTGGATGGCCATGCCACAATCCCTTCTCCATTCTTCTCTTGGGATCTTGGGAATGCATGCACATGCCCAACGTGAATTTAAGCCACCGGGTCTGGGACTTGAACCGCTGTCGACTACATGGGAGTCCAGCGACATAGCCATTACACCGACTTCTGGTCCCGAGTTTACTTTTTTTTTTTTTTTGGAGGGGTTTTTCGCTATAGGGCGCGTGCGCTCGCCAGACAGACAGAGAGAGACATAGAGAAAGAAAGCGAGAAATCACCCCCCAGGGGGGATGGTCATGCCACAATCCCTTCTCCTCCATTCTCCTCTCGGGATCTTGGGCACGCACGCACACGTGCCCGGCGTGAGTTTTAAGCCACCGGGTCCAGGACACGAACCGTGGTCGACTACGTGGGAGTCCAGCAACATAGCCATTACACTAACTGCTGGTTCCCCTGAGTTTACATTTTTAAAGAGCACACTTTTGCCTTCTACTAATGGGACTAAAGGCCCAGTACCCTGATGGTTCCTTGTTCCTAGGATTTACAAATCCTTTTAAAAATAAAAGCCCACCATCTGGTTGGACTGAATGCCAGTCCATCTGGTCTTCAGTTACCCCATCCCAGTGGTTTTCAGTGCGTGCCCTCAGCCCCGGCCCTCCACCTGCTGCTTTCTCTGGCTCATCAGCCATACGTACTTCGTGGCCTCCTGAAGACATTCCCACGGGTCTCCACCCTCCCGTCACTCCTTATTCTGTCCTGCACCTGCTGTTTAGAGACTTCCAGAGCTGCCCTTTGCTCTTCCTGAGATAAGAACTTGGTCGGAGTAAGATTTATTTATCCCCAAGTGAGCAGGGCACAAATGGGAAATGAGATTCCCAGTAAATAAACAGAGTGGGAGTTTTTGGCTCTGTCCACGGCCACCATCATAGCGAACCACGTCCTCATGTTCCCTCCCTATGGGCTTTGTGGTGCACTGAAGTAGGAGAGAGGTGGGGTGCAGGGCAGAGTGGGGTCTTGGAGAGCCACTGAGCAGCCATCTCTCCGATTACATGACCCATCCCACTTCCCCTCTCCCGCAGGGACTACATGAGGGACTTTGCCTTTGTTTTTATCACATTCCATCTTATCCATTAATTCTCTCTCTCTGGTTATTCTGGAAATATCTCAGTTTTTATCTTCTGACTGGATGCTTTGGGAAATGAAAATAAAAGGGGGAAATGCTTACTGGCCATGTTATGTTTCTTTGCAGAGATGTTTGCACTAAGTTTCTAGGTGTTCCTACTCTTGTCTTCTCTGTCACTTCTCATCCTCTCCTGCTCTTTTTCTGCATTTTTCAGGTCTCTGCTGAGGTGCAGATGTACACAGCACCAACGCCTAGCACTGGGGCTCCCCTAGAATGGGATGCCCTAACGTGCAATCAGATGGTGTCCAGATGAACAAAACAGCTTCCACTGATAGGCAAAGTTCTCTCACTAATGAGCCTGGTACCATCTGCAATGCTAATGTGTGATGGCTCAGAAGACCATATAAGTCTTTCTCCTGGTTACAGAGGGGTCTACAGGTTCCCAGTAAGGACCAGAGTGACTGTTCAGTAATACTGTGGAGACCAGTAAGAACCATCATAATAAGGCATGAACTATCTTAGAGCGCCTCATCTGTTTGCTCTGGCTCAAATCTTGCAGACATCCCTGACTCTTCTCCACCAAACTCATCTCAAATGCTTTTGGCTCTGCTTTGACAACATATCCTGAATCCAAACACTGTTCTTCACCTCCATGGCTTCCACTTTGGCTCAAACTACCACCATCTTTGGCTGGATCAGAGTAACAGCCACCTAACTAGTCTCCTGGCTTCCCGAAGCAGCCATCGGCCATCCTTTTCAGTGTGAGTCAGATTATTCCACTTCCCCATCCAGAAGTCTCCCATGTCTCATCTCACTCTGCCCAAAGGCCCAAGTCTTACCTGTCTCACAGAGCCCTACATGATCTGCCCCATACCTGCACCCATGCCTCCTGCGACTCACTCCCTCCACTCCTGCCTCCCTAACCTCCTCTTCACTCCACCATGCCAGGCATCCTCCCGCTCCAGAACCTGCACTCGCTACTGCCTCCTCCCACAGCCATGCCAAGGGCTTGGGCCCTCCTCCTCAGGTCTTTGCTCAAATATCACTTTATCAATCCTTCCCCGACCACCCTCCACAAACTGACTAACATCACACCTTACCTGCCTTATTTTTCTCTGTAGCCATTAACACCTTGTAATGTATCGTATAATTAGTTTGGTTTTTGTGTTAATTATCTAATAGAACATCCATCCCATGAGGGTAGGATTTTTCTCTCTTTTGCTCCCTACTCCCTCAAGCATAAAATAGTGCCTGCCCCGCAAAAGGCACATGATGGCTATGGCGGACAAACAAGTTGCCTAGTGGGGCTCCAGAAGCAGGTATGGTAAAGGACCACCCGACTTCCAGATTCCATCTTTTTCTGCAAAGGCATCATCCGGCCTTGGGCTTATCCACGTGTCTCAATCTGCTTGTGTTTGCATCCCTAAGGGCATAGGGGCATGAAAGTGCTTTAAGCTAGCTGTGATTATTCCAAAATCTAAAATAAAATGGAAAAGAAAGTTCTAAGACGTTAAAGCTGAGCTCTTGAGGGAGCCAGCAGATGGCATACCGGCTACATCACTGGACTCCCACATGCCTGACAGTGGTTTGAGTCCCAAACCTGGTGACTTGAAAATCACACCAGCACATGTGCTTGCATGCCCAAAATCCCCAGAAGAGAATAGAGGAGACGGGATTGCAGTGTGGCCATCCCCTCGGAGGGTGATTTCTCACTTTTCCTCTCACTTTCTCTGTCTCTCTCTCTGGTGAGCACAGGTACCCCAAGGCAAAAATCTCTTTTAAAAAAAATAAAGGTGATCTCTTGAAGGAGTAAGCAGTATGAAAATGCAAACAATGCACACAAATCATTTCAAAGGACACTTAGAAGTGAGTAATATTAAAGAGCCTAGGGGTGGAAGGTGGCACAGGGGTAAAGGCTGGCGCTCTGTGATGTCCTGGGTTCACAGACAGAGACCTCCCTGAGTACACCAGCTACGCACAAGCCTGTGATCCCAGGCTGACTAAGGCTGGGGGTGATCGTGGCCTCGGGATCCTACTGGGGACGCTGTGTCTCTATCTCTCTCTTTCTCATGGAAGAAATAAATAAATAAACTTTTAAAATTAAAAATGCCTGTACCCTCTTGAACTTCATGGACTTATCATTAAGGAGAATTAATGCTTTGTTGAAAAGAAACTAGACTAGTTTCTTTCATGTCC